TGCTGCTGCTGCTGCTGCTCGCCGAAGGAGACGGGCGGCAGGTAGCCCATGTACGCGGCGGCAAGCAGCGGGTCGAAGAAGCCCTGCGGCAGAATCGGCATCGCACCGCCGCGGTTGCGGCCGCCCCCCATCATGGCGTTGTCCACGCCACGCCCGCCACGTCTGTCGCGTCGCGCACGCATACTGGCCGCGCGCATAATCGCCTCGCGGTCGTACACCGTGGACGAGAGCACCTCAATATAGCGCGAACCCATCGTCTTGTTGTGCAGCTGCTTGGCCTCCTCGACGTCCTCCTCCGTGGCAAGCTCGACAAAGGCATCTCCGGTGTTGCGGCCCTCCATATCACGGCAGATATCGATGCGCACCACACCGAGGATGGAGCCGACAAAATCCTTTACATCCTCTTCAGTCGAGGCGAAGGGAAGGCCACGCAGCCGCAGCACATGAATTTTGCAGCTCTGTTCTTGCTCCTCCAATGTCCGCTGACGCTCCTCTTCTGTTGAGGGGGTAAGTTCCACGTAGCGGTTGGGATCAATGTGCTGGCGGTGAAGTTTTCCAATCACTACCGGTACATCCTCTGCGTTCTGCAGGCGGATAAACCCAGTACCGCGATGCTTGCCCTCCGTGAAGAATAATATAGGCTCCTCCTCTGCGAGCTCAAACTCAGAAAAGAAGGCATGAATGTTTTCCTCCTTGATGGAATAGGGCAGGCCATGAAGCCGTATGACGCGTGACGTCTCGGTTGAGTGGGGGACACCCGCCTCCGTTTCAGGTTGTGCAAGACCGTTGTTGGTGTTGTTGGCGTCAGCGTGGGTGGTGGGAGCGGAGTCCGTTGCACCATTGCAAAGTTNCCCATTCGCCTGCTCCTGTTTCTCGTCCCTCTCCCCCTTTTCCTCCTTCCGCTGCGCTTCTTGTCGCTGCTCCTCACCTTGCGTCTGCATGGTGTGCATTTCAGCTGCCGCTGCCACCTCTGCTGGTTCCATCTGCTGCTCTACTCGATAGCACGCCGCTGTAGAGCAATGAAGGCACACTCGCCCAATATGAAATCAGCCCCAAAACGCACGCAGCGAAAGAACGAGAAATAAGTGCCGAGGAAAAAACAAAAAAAAAAAACGCGAATAAAGCGAAAGGAGAAGATAATTGACCCGAAAAAAAATGGAATCAATATCCTCCGTCACCTCCCTTCAGCGTCTTTTTGTTTTGTTTGTTTCTTTCCCCTGNTAAAGGAGAAGATAATTGACCCGAAAAAAAAAATGGAATCAATATCCTCCGTCACCTCCCTTCAGCGTCTTTTTGTTTTGTTTGTTTCTTTCCCCTGCGTCTCACCCCTAACAAAAATAGAGGTCTCTCTGGGACAAGCTCTTCTCCTCCCCCCAAAAAAGACGAAACAAACGAAACCAAAATTGACGCGGTCCCCCTCTTAGCCCCTTTTCTTTTTCTCTCGCCCTCTTTTTTCTTCCCAGTTGCTCTCGATTATTACAAACCTTTCTGCCTCTCTCGCTATCCACCTATATATATATATATATATATCTATATCTATATATATATATANACCTATATATATATATATATATCTATATCTATATATATATATATAGCCCCTATCTATTTACCCCTGTGTAAATTGTTGCAGTAGCTGTTTTATTGCTTCACTGTAAATTCCTTTGTTCTCTCTCTCCCGCCTTGTTTCTTTCGTCTTTCTGTTCTGTAGCCCACTGTCTGTGTGTGTAACTTCCTCCCTGTGTAAGTGTGTGCACGCCACGGCTCGTGAGTATCGGCCTAAAATGCCTTACTAAAGAACACCAATAAGGTACCAACGTAACCTACTCGCGTTGGTGATTGTGGGTTGTTTGTAGATATGCAAGGAAGAGCGAGCGAGAGACAGAACGTTGAAGAATCGAGCAGACAATGAACGTAAAAGCATGGCGGAATAAAGCACATTCAAGCATTAGAGAGAAAGAGATAAAGAAAGGGCAACGCAAACACCAAAATTGGTAGTGGGGCGCACTCCACATGTCGACTGTCCGGTGGATGTCTGTTTAACGTCCATTTCCCCCACAAATCCTTCACGTTTCTTTCCTTATCGCCACCCCTTCCTTTCACTCTTTCAGCACACCACACATCTCTGTTAAGCTCCACTCCTTCCTTCTGTTGCATGTGTGTATATATAGATATGTGCCTGCTCTACGCCGTCTCTGCCTGGGTGAAGAGCAGCGCCGTGTTCACGCCACCAAATCCGAAGCTCGTGGAGATCACAGCCTCCCCTCGAACGGCATGCGGCGCGTCGCCACGCACCAGCAGCAGCCGCTCCGACGCCTCCACCGTGGGCGTGTGCAAGTTAATATTCGGCGGCGCCTGTTGGTGAAAGAGCGCCATGATCGCCACGATGGCCTCCACACTTCCTGCAGCACCTAGAAGGTGACCGAGGCCGCCCTTCACGCTACTCACACACAGAGGCGAGCACCGGCCGCCCTTTGTGTCGTTTCTGCTGCACAGCACGGCGTCCAGCGCGCGCAGCTCCACATCATCACCGATCGTACCGGTGGCGTGTGCGTTTACGTACACCACCGCCTCGGGCGGGACGTCGCCGCCGTCGGTGAGAGCTGCGCGGATGCACAACTGCGCGCCACGTCCATCAGGGTGCGGCGCGGCGACATCGTGCGCATCGCTCGAGACGCCAAATCCACGCAGCTCCGCGAGGACGCGAGCACCCCGCCGCTGCGCGTGCTCAAGGTCCTCGAGCACCATTACGCCGGCGCCCTCACCCATCACGAAGCCGCCACGATCTGAGTCGAACGGGCGCGATGCCTCCCGCGGCCTGTCGTTGTACTTCGTGCAGAGCGCCCGCATGCGGCTGAAGCCGGCGATGGCGACCGGCGTGATGCACGCCTCTGCAGCGCCGCACACAACAACGTCGGCGCGGCCGCCACGAATCCAATCCGCGGC